TTAAAGTGCTGGCTTGTAATAGGATGATTGTTGCCCAAATTTTTCGTAAGATTTGCCAAGCTATTATTCATAAATTGCATGCTATCTATATATTTAAGCTGACCTACCTTCATAGACTTGTATCGCTCAAATGTTTCGGCTATGACCCTGATTTGGTGAGCATTAACAGATTGCCCAACAGATTCGCAAACCAAGTGAGAGTCATAGCCCCGGAAGTTATGAAAGATAACTGGAATTGGTGTCTTCCATGCTTGGATCTGGAGTTTAAGATTACATGCATTGTGGGCAGGCCCACGAAACTTACCTGTAATATGACAGTGGTCCCAGACCTTATTATTCTCTTCATCAAATTTATCTTTACAAATCCAACAGGTATCGGCTTCTGCAAATTTTTTCTTATCTTTTTCTGTTACAATTTGGTCATGCTTAATAGTTAAAACTTTATTAATTTCGACCAACTCCTTATCAATTTTTCGGACGAATTCTTGTATAGCATTTTCTTTTCGGTATAGGAAAGGCCCCCATTTGTCCCTAGTATCGAACCAATGAACTAGATAACAAAAGCTATTGGCTTTTTGCTCGGCAAGTTTTCGCATTTGTCTTCTATATTCTTTATTGCATTTTTTGTTGTCCGCCTCGAAGTCTGCTATAATTACACATGGAGCATTAATCATCCGGGCATGATTTTTAAACTTTTCAAAATCATTGACCCCTTTGGTAGGTAAAGTGACTCTTTGAGTTGAGATTTAGTAATATCTGTAAAAGCTATAAGGTCAATAATATGTTGTCTATTATAGTTCTTGCTAGCTATTACAGGTTTGGGAGTAGCTGATTCTTCTTTCTATTCACAGACATTAATAGAGATATTAGAATTCATCTTCTTAATCTTATTAAATATACGGGAACAAACTGGAGTAGGCATAGGAATCCTATCTAGCTTGATGATATCTAAATAGGGCTTGTATTTTGTGGCTTGGAATATTCGTTCAAGATGTTCTGTATGTCCATCTTGATAGGCAAAGTAAGCTCCTAATGCCCCTTGAAGATATTTTTCTGATAAAGTATTTGTTTCTGGATCGATTAGCTCTTGATTGTTTGGATTGATGATACACTTTGTATTGGCTAGCTTTTTGGGAGTAGGAATATAGGAACCTCCATTAGTTCGACGATAGGTATAGGATTCAATAAATATATTTTCTATTCTAAGAAGAATTTTACCGGACTCTTCTTTTAAGTGATTCTTAATTTGTATATTAATTTCTCCTACAGATTGAATTAAATGTAAGTCTATATCATTTACTGAAAGAAGAATATGTTGTTTTCCTCTATGATATGAATGAGCATAATTAGCTTCATAATTTGCTTTGTCTGACAGATTGCCTTCTCCTTTATATTTATATTTTATATATATGCTCTCTATAACTAATAATGTTTTTATTTGGTCCTTTTTGTGGAGCTCTTCTTTAAGAATATTAGTAATTGCTTTGCGAGTTGAGGCCATGAGTTGTGGCATATATGGGGCGTCTGCATATGCTATTTTATTGTCTTGCTGTTTATTAAAAGCATATGCTAGATAATTGCTTGCTGGAACCTTTCCTTTCCATACAGACATATTTTTGAGATTTTTATGCGGTCTGGCCGGGTCATAACTTTTTTCTACAAATACTATATCATTCTGCGAAGTTATTTTTTCTCTATATGCTTGGGTTGCTGGGCCTGGACCAGCTCCAGATCTTGAACAATCACTTGGTCTTTGACCCCCTCTTGAACTTCATTCTGCAAGGAAGAGATTTGGGTTGCCAAGTTTGAACCAGATTTAGAAGTAAGAGGTAGCACCTGTTTGGATACTTGGGTTCGAGTAATTGGTATATTGCATTGATTTTTTTTGCTTTTATAATGCTTGCGAAGTTTTTCTGGTCTTGTAAAAGTATATCC